AAATACCCAAAAAGAAGTTTGTAAAAAATGAATCCGCCTCAACAATATAGAACTTATCTACAACTTAGGTAAGAGACAAATTGATTGAAAAATCACATCTAAACTTTTAAGGTGTTCAATGTTTACAGGCAACACCTGAAAAGCGGAATACCAAAGACCATAAAAGAGAAAACTAGAAATTATTCAAATTTAAAAAGTTGCATGCAAAATAGGCCAACCGAATATCACAGTTATCAACAAGGACAACCAAAACAGTAAAAAAATATGACGGTGTAATTATTAATGCCAGGAATATATAAAATTATTTAAATTAACTAACATAATGTTCACTTTTTCTCTCATAAGAAAAAGTAGATTTGAAGCAGCGCAACAAGATCGAATCAGCTGATAAGATATACAAAGAAAGACGAAAAGTGTCTTAAAAATCAAGAAAAAGTAAATTTTGCATTTGAGACAGAAATTCAAGTATTTGTGTTTCATGAAAGACAACACAGCCACAAATCACCCGATAGAATACCAAAACTACAAAAAAATTATTATGGAAATATGTGACAAACTCAAGAACCAAACGACAAATTGAAGCAACTGGAGATAATCAAATGAAACAAAAGCAAACATTCCTAGCTGCATAAAGAACAAAAATAAATGCAAATGATTAATCCCTATTATTCTGACCCAGAAGTGAAAAGTTGAGGAAAAACATGTACACAAAAAGGTAAACTTATCGTAATTCCATGAAGCAACGGCATACAGAAGGCGGAACAAATCGAAAATTGCAAGTAAAAAATAGACGAAAACAGACCAACTGAGTTTAAAAATAATCAAGAAAGAATATGCATTGCCTGAAATTTTAAGAAAATCTATTAATGGAGCTAAGAAAGAAAAAAACAATAAATATAAATAAAACTATATACAGGTGGTTTCATAAGTCGACATACTCTATGTAAGAGTTATAAATAGCCATTGGGTAAAACAATTTCCTATATTTATTTAACCATGTAAATTTTTGAGCAACTCTGGAAACTCTTTGAAAACACCTCGCATACAGTAACTATATTTGATAACAATATCAACATGTTCGCTGGCAACTCTTACAACAAAACACGCCCTTGTATGGTCTATAAAATACACGTTTACTGATCGAAGTTTCACAGTGAAAACAAACTCAAATTGCTTTACGTGACTTCAGACGATCCTCAACGTGTGACTTTTACATATTGGTTTTACTGCCCCAGTTGGTGAGGGAACAGGGAACTTTACGGCTATTGGATAAGTGGTTTTTGTAAAAAAAAAACACTTTTGTTTAATTACGTATTTGGCAATTCACCACGAAATGCATGGAAGTATAGGATAACAAAAATGTTTAATTTTTGCCGCTTTTTTTGCTGGTTTTCCAGCACTGCGTTAACTCCAAAAAAATTATGCTTTCTCTGATCGATTTTGGGAAAACTTTAATGTTTTCGAAAAAAAAACAAGAGAACTTTGCTTCGCTTTTGTCTCAAATTGAAAGGTAAAACGTAAAAAATCAGTTTGCCCCTATTTTAAAGTAAAACCTTAGGAAAAACCGCATTTCTGTTTAGAGGGAGGTTTGTTTAGAAATATTGACATAAAAATCAAGAAACCGGTATTGAAAAAAACTAAATTATTCACAGCGACGAAGGTGGCGAGTTTTCCAAATAATTGTTTACTAAGTTTCGCTTGTTCTGTTCGGGAAAATATTTTTGGAAAAACCCAGACAAAACTATTAGGGTTTTGTCCAAAATTTGAGGCCGCAAAAGATTTTTGACTCATTTTTACAAAGCGGTTAAAGAGGCGAGTGTTTAGTGATCAAAATTTAGTTTATAATTTTTCACAGAAAATACCAGAAGATTATCAGTATTTTTAAGTAAAACTAGAAAAAATGTGGTTTTTGCGTAGAGCAAATTGCTTAAAAAAACTTTGCTAAAACTGGAGACCTGAAATTTTAAAGAAACTTTAAAATTCTTCAAAGGCATGAGGGTGGCGAATTTTCCAATTAGTTTTTTGTAAACTTTTTGTAAACCYCAATTACTTTCGGTGAAMAAATAATGAAAATKATTTGGTYTTTGTGCCAAATTCGAATCTGAAAAGGGKTTYCTAAAATTCCCTGCAAAATGAGACTTMAAATTGTMATTTTTGGCTGAAAAGACTATTATTGTCAGGAAAGGCGAAAARCATCAGAAAATTGCGGGTTTTTTGCGCTTTTGATTATAATCTTTTAGTTTTGTAATCGGTTTTTGAGAAAACCTTMACGATTTTCGGGACAAAACGGAAGAAATTTATTGTCGTCCCGAATTCGACACTGAAAAAGTTTTTATAAAATTCCTACCAAGCCAAAAATTTATTTTGCAATTTTTCGTGCAAAAGACTTACAGATTGTCAGTATTTTCAAGCGAAACTCTACAAAATAGAGCGTTTTTGAGTAGAAAGTAAAGCAAGAAACAAATCCAGTCAAAACTAAAACCCACAATTTTTGAACAACCTTTACAGTCTTCAGAGGAATGAGGGTGACGAGTTTTCAGAAAACTGTGGATATAGAAAAAAAGTTTTAACTACGTATTACTTTTGTCTGCTTTGCGAAACCTTTTGTAATCTTAAAATTAAAATAAAATCAGAAGACATACACTAAAGTAAAAGAACCTAGTGAATAAACGTGCGAACACGAATCAATAATTACCCTCAATCTGTTGTTATCTGTAAAATCCGTAGGCAAAAAAGAAGAGATAATCAGCGAAAACCAAGCAAATATACATATGCATGAGCACATAAACAGCAAACAAAGATAATATAAAACTATTACT